TTATATCATTATTTTTTATCGTTATATAAATATAAATTAATGATGGATATACTATGATCTTATATATATGACATATATTATCTATCGAAAGGGTACATGAAGTTATTCTATTGTAATTGATAAAATGAGATTAAGAAGAAAAAAAATATTTCCTTCATTTTTACTTGTTAAAGTGATTTTAGAAGAAAGAAAACAAAGAATAATGTTCTTTAATAATATATTAATTAGGAAGAAGATGTGTTTAAAATAAAAAAAATAATATACTTATTTGGAAAAGAGCATTTTTGACCCATTTTGTAACTATAGGAGCATTTCTTGGACCAAAGTATTGTCTGCAATGACATTTTTGAGCCAAATTATAAACGAGGTCATTTTTGTTCTTTCACATAGTTTAAGGACATTTTAACCTTTTTTTCTATAATAAATACAATAACTTGAAAAATATAATAGAAAAATGACAATAAGAATGAATTAGAAATTAAACATAAAATTATCTATTAATTTCATAAAATAAATAATATTATTGGAGATTTCAAAATAATATAGTGGACAACACAAGTATGGTTGAATGAGGAGGGTGTAAAACTTAATCTTTCTCAGTAACTATTCCGCATTAAATATTTGATCGCCGATTCCAACTTCCTTCTTTCTTCACCTTTCCCCTGTTTCTTCCCTCCGTTCACAACAAACTAGCTACTTTTTCTTTACAATTTCACACAGAAAAAAAGAGAGAAGAAAATATAGATACTACTATATTGGAGAAGCTTAGACTTGTGGGTTGACAACCTTTCTTTTCTACACGCCAGGGAAGACTTTTCTCTCTCTCTCTGGAAGAAGAAGAAGAAGAAGAAGAAGAAAATGAGGTCGGGTGTTGATACTTACTATAATGCTATTACACAAATACTTGGCGCTAACGTAAACTTCTTCTTCTAACTAATTTCTTTCCCAGGTTCGTATATCTTTTCTTCCTCGACCAAATGAGTTTTCTCCATGAAAAATTGTTTATTATGCTCTTTCATCTTCTTCAATGGTAGATTACTAAAGTTGAATTTTCATCTTCTTTTTTTCGGGTTTCTGTATTTATCATTCTTTTGACTTTGGAGTTTAAATCTTATTATCCCCAATCCATCTCTATTTTCTGGATCTATTCTATACATATGCTTTAATGAAACATTAGCTACTTTTTGGTTCCGTCTTTCAATGAATCAGCAATTCTTCCAATTGAATAATTTTAGAGCATCAACAAAGCTTGTGGTGGGGTGGTAATTATTCTTTCATCCTTAATCAACAGGTGTCGGGTTCGAGTCCTTGGAAATGGAGTTATTTCATAGTAGTATTTGACCTGCTATGTTGTTCATATTCAAATGGTTTCTTATTCTCTGTCACGTCTTTTTTGCAGTTTCTGCTAGCTAACATGAGTAATCAAACTACAACTAAAGTTCGGTTTGTTAGATGTCCCAAATGCCAATTGGTTCTTCCCGAGTTAGCAGACATTCCTGTCTACAAGTGTGGAGGATGTGGCACAATTCTCCAAGGTCATTTTTCTTTCCTTGTATATTTTACAATTTTGTTTGTTAATCATAGTCCAACGCACTCAGCTGTCGTCTTGTCATGGTTCATGACATTGTGTTGGGTTCAACTCTTACATTGCGCCAACGCTCCCATCCTATGTTAATACATCTAGTATTGGAGGAAAAAGAAAAAGATCTAGTGCGCGTATTCACCCCAACAAAAAGATCTAGGCTTGTTAGATAAGCTCTTTCTTACAGCTTTAGTAACAGTTCTATGCTAAAGAAGTAGTTTTGTTAGATAAAAATAAAGGAATGGGAACAATTATTGGTGGTATCAACTATCTGGAGTCCGGAGATCCTTTGCATTTGAGAGTAGTCCAATAGGTAACCTAGTATGCCAGTAGAATTAGATATTTAATTCTTATATGTGATTAATTCTCGAAAAAAGAGGGGTGTGGGGACTTTACATAAGTGAATTATGGTTTCCTCACAAATTTTATCTTGGATGCAGCTAAGAATAGGAAAAGAGCTCCTACAAAGAACAACGTACTTGATCAGAATGAAATAAGCAGTGCAAGTGAAGAAGCTTGTCCTCCTTTGAAAGGAGATTCTTCACGGAACGAATGGAAGAAGTCAGATCAAGGGGGCGCTGGAGACTGTAACAAGGAGCTACCTCGACAGTTAAACTCCACCGATGAGCTTCCAAGCTCTTCTGGGGTTAGCTGCCTTGAGAAAGAAGATCCTTTATCCAAATCTGCAGTACATAAAGGAGATGAACACAGTTGTTCTTTGGATGTAAAGACGGAACAATATGAAAATGGATCTCGGGATCACCACCAGTTAGCAGGAGGTGAAGATTTCTCCAATACACTTGCTAGCTCAGATCAACTTGCTTGTCCTGAACTGGGAAGTCCAATTGTTGAAGCCAAAGAAGATGCCGAAGGTTCAGCCATTGAAGAAAGAGAGAAACTGGAGCTGGATAAAGACACTGGATGTTCATTCCATGAAACTGAACAAGATATAGAAGGTTTACCCCTTGAAGCGACAGAGCAACTGGAACTGGATGAAGACAACTTCCTTGTGGATGGCTGCACTGTGAATGATCAAAATAGAAGTGGAGTTAATCATAAGAGTAACTCCCTTGATGAGAATTCTACTTACTCTGGATGTGTCGTTCACAGAGATAAAGTGTCTCCTGGAAGTAGGGCACATGAAGATGGAATTGAAAACAAATCTCTTGTGGAACAAATCATTGGAAGGGGCCAAAATGATTTCCAAGGTCACAATGCAGAATCTTCTGAAAATGTAAGGTATGCCAAGGAAACCTCTTTATCTGCTGAGGTAGCCTGTGACTTTGAGAAGCAGTCATCTGTATGCTCTGACACGTTCCAAAGTATTTTGAATGAAAGCATCACATCAGACACTTTGATGGCTACTGATTATGAGCAATTTGAGCAATTTCATAAAGAGATTCCCTCAGGTTTTGACCGTATAAGCTCTATGGATACATTAGAAAATCAACCGCTAAATATTTATCGATCTGAGCCTCCTGTCAATCGCAGAAATATGATCAGTTCTCCTACACACAGAAGTTACTATGGCTATGATGGCAGTGCATCTTCATGTGATGGGGATGATCATATACCTGATCAGTACAATCACCAACCTGTAAGAAAGTTTAAGGAAGCATACCCTGTCAGCCCTGGTGAGTTTCTTTTGGATGGTAGAAGCCGAGTAAACCACGCAATGAGCGGTGAGTCAAAGATGGTGCAGCGAGCAATGAACTTTTCCACAGCATTACCAGGAAGGAGTCATCAAGCTACAGAAGGCAGCAACTGGAGTCAGAAGCCTCAGCCTAGAAAACGTGGTCAGGCCTCTGGAGGTAGAATGACATCGGACAAGGATGAGCATGCCACAACATTTCCGTTTATTTCAACAGGTTCTCATGCAGGACAAAAGCATGGAAACCCTTCAAATTATCGGAAGAATATGACCCACCATTCTGGTCTCCTTCCACCCAGAAAGCCCTCAGATTCAGAACCAGACAAAATACAATTGTTGAGAATGGTGTATGAACTTGAAGATCAATTGCGCCAGACACGTATTACTACAAGGATGGCCAATGGAGCCAATGGGCGGTTTTCTGCAGAGCCAATGAGGGATGAAGAGTATAACCCCTCATACTACGATCAGTTTTTGGAAGATGGTGAAGTAAGTGGTGATTTGAACTATTCTAGATATCCTGTAAGATGCAGTCATGGAAAAGGCTGGCCGCAACAACGTAAAAGCTCAAGAATACCTTTTTCTGCAGAGGTTTCACATTACAGGCACCAAGCTGATTGCCTGTGTTCACATTGCTCCCCTAAGGTCCGGCATTTCTCAGCGCAGCTGCATCCTTCAGTTTGCTATAACAAAGGCTGTGGGGTTGGCTATTCCAGCTGTAACTGTTGCAATCACCTCCAGTCTGATTCTTCAAGCCCTCAGCATTACTCAAGCTCTGAGTATTCTCGATGGGACCATGATACAAAATCTGATGATAGGAGGCACAAAGATCATGAGATGAAGAAACTGTATCTACGAGAAAAATACTCAAAAATGCGGCATCTCCGACCAGTAGCTGGTGGAGCCCCAATAATTTCTTGTTACTACTGCAACGAACTTCTACAGCTGCCTGCAGACTTTCTTCTTTTCAAAAGGAGATGCCATCAGCTTAGATGCAATGCTTGTAGAAAGGTGCTGAAGTTTTCTCTCCAAAACCAGATACATGTAGTCCCATTTCATGCAGAGGCTTTAGCTCCTCCACCAAGTGAGGTTGATGACAACACTGGTGTCACTGATCATCAGAATCTGGCATATGAATATCATCTTAATTCTTGTCCCCGTACTGAACGAATATCGTGTTCTGATGATTTGGGACCATCTTTCTGCAGAAGCATCTCTACTGAAGGGGAGCCTTCACTACCTCCAATTCAACCTCGTGGAAGGACCTCTTTCAATGGAGAGATATCCTCTAGTAGTTCTTATGCTCCCACAAAAGACAGAAAAATGAAATCCGTCATGAGGGAACCTCGTATGGGGACCTTTGGATCACCAGAGCCTTCAGCTAAGATGTCTAAGTGGGGAAAAGTATCATCTTCAGAAATTGAGGAAGTACGACCAAATGGAGGCTCTCCTCTTCATCGGCTTATGGGTTATGAATCGCCAAGCGAAGTGATACATTGGTGACTGACTCAACTTTCAGGAAATGAAACAACGATCAAAAAGAAAGAGGCAAGTCAATTAGGCAACAAAGAGCAATAGATTGGTCATTTTTGATAGATACTTGACATAAAGGGATCGATATTCTTGGTGTTAAAGATGTTGAAACACAAACAATATTTCGTTCAGGCGCTCATCCATTTGTATATCCTGAGTATCATTTTTTTCTCTATAGTTCTTCACTTCACACTATGTACAGGTGAAATCAAAGTGGCAGCTTGTAGGTTGTATAGAAAAATTGAGGTGTTCATGGTAAAAGTGTCTGGATTTCTAGTTATTTGTGTAATGATAATTATATGTATATTTAGAATAAAGGACATATTCAGTTATTCTTCTTATCTTCTAAAGTTCATTGTTTAATTCCCTTATCAATATTGTCGTTTATCATACTGTTTGTGGTTGCCACTGTTCTTGTCTCCATTATTCTTTATATGCTTCACTTGAGCTAAGGGTGTGTCGGAAACAACCTCTCTACCTTCACAAGGTTGGGATAAAGCTACATATAGAACAACGATTACTTGAGGACATTCTTATCGCAGTTTAACCATTAATATTTGAAATGGGTTTGGATAATATTGGGTATGGGTTGAACTATTGTTACATCAATTAGTCAGCCATCAGACATTCTAGTTAATGGTCGTATAGTAAAGATATTATTAGGGTAGAGAACGAACAAAAATTCAAAGTTCTCTACACATCAACCAACAGCATACATCAGAAAATATGATACAATTTCTTTTCAAAGTTTGCTATTATATACAGTATATTAGAAAATCTTTTCTTTTGATAACAGTATATTAGAAAATCCCAGGAAGGGCAACAATCTCTTGGTGTGACTTACAATCATCATTGGTATATGTTCCTTTGTCTTTGATTAGAGACAACGTTGATCCTCTGATCTCGATACATGTTCATGTTTGGAGCTAACAATCTGGTGTAACGGTCAAAATAGAGAAGTTGCTTCATCAGAAGTGCAAACTCACGAGGAAATTTCAATCCATAAGATTCACCAACTCTAACCTGCCAAACATTAAAGAACATGGATCAGAAAATAGAGGTTAGAGGGACAAGGAGAAAAATAACAGCATTTTATTTCATTTCTTTCATCTGTAAGTATCTTATTCCCAAAAGTGCATGAATATGTACAAGCAAAAACTCGGTGTCCCTTTATGAATGGAAGGAACTAAGGAATACAAACGAGGTGTCAGTATCATAAACAGTCTGCATCTTACACCAAAGTGAAAAAAGATGTAAACATCTGCATTTAACCCTGTGTACTAATTCAGCATTTTTTTGTATGATAAAAGATTTCTAGAACACAAAATGCAACTCTTTTTGCTGCATTTATTTGACATTTCGCACTGGAGATCTAATAAACTGTTCATTTCACATATAATTAGCCTAATAGTAGGACATCTTGAGTACCAGAGAAAGAAGAAAAATAGAAGAGTATGTGATAGTTCTAGACAAATGGCCTTGATTTTATTAATCATGCAAACTTAAGACCAAATAGGAAGTGATATGTCTGACTTTGGTTACGTCATAATTTTGAAGCAGAAAGCCATAGTTGTGGATAAGAATATGAATAGACTAATACTAGAGCTAAAACTGCTTTACCACGTCCAGAAATAGTGCATTCATCTGTCTTTCATCAAACGCTACATTGGCAGCAACAGTAGTAGCATTTGTACTTGTGTCCCTGGCAGCCGCAACAATGATTTCTGTATCTAAATCCTGTGTAATAATAACGATATGGGTCAGAAAATTAGTAGTTGAAGCTCAGCTAGTCCAATGAAATCAAAATTTTATAGCGTGGAATTTGTGGTTCTCCAGACAGGAGAGCTGCCCAGAATGAAGACAATATCAATGACTTACCATCCAAAACTAATAACTACTATTTCCCGGAAGGGCTTCCTCTCTGTTATCTTTTTACTTGACCAGGATTCCAACAAAGGAAATTTTATAGTAAGACATCCATCATATTCGAAAAATCAGTCTATGAATTTACAGTTGACTGGGGTCAGGACAAGGATGACACGATAGAATTCAAAACCACCTCCATTTGATTCATTTCGGATTACTTTCTCGCTTATATCCTTCTATTTGTCAATTAATGATGGAGAAATATAATATCTCTTTCCAGTCTTGCAGCCTTCAAAAATACGGCTCTTTGGTTGATGAACCATATGTAGCCAATAAACATTGACTAGCTGATCTCAACCCAAGGACAAGTATACACAGGAACTTTAAGGGAAGAGAAGGCAACAGTAGCATATAAAACTTTCATCAGAATCTACAGAACTTATGCTGGATCATATATTTTACCTGAATTGACAAAAATATTTTCTCCAACTCTCTCGCAAAAGCCTTCGAGTCCACATCCTTTCCAGTAGCACCCATGTCAATTAGAGCAGATGCCATCGACTCATAATCTTCAATTGCTATAGATTGCAGAAATACTTCCATAGCAGCCCATGTCTTTGGAGATATGCGACCAACAATTCCTGCATAGGAAATCCTTAACTTTTTTTAGTATTTCCGTTTGATTGAAAAGATGTTACAGGAAAGTTTTAACTCAATTGGCATGCCCATTTTCAATATTTATCTTAAATTAGCATGCCCATACCCCAACCATAGGAAAACATTAATGTAGAGTCCGCACAAGATCAATATATGTGGTTAAATAAATCAAACTAGCTGCTAATAACATTCTCATCGGGAAACTAGAGCTAAATAATCTATTGAAGTTTGACCAGGAATGAGACAGAACATAGTTTTCTGAACCCTTAGTTAAGAAAAAAGAATCCATGATGACTAGTCAGCAGTGTCTCAACAAGCAAATGGGTCAGATATTGCTTTGCCATCCAAGTTGGTAAACTATTTGCTAGCAAAAGTTGGTGATCCTAAGACTTCATTTATAAATATAAGCTTCTACAAAAAATCAGGTAGATAACTAATACTCCCTCCGTCCCAATTTATGCAGCATACTTTCCTTTTTAATTTGTTCCAAATAGAATGTCATACTTCCTTATTTAGAAACAATTTAACTTTAAACTTCTCATTTTGTTCTTGAGATGATTTATAACAACACAAATCTCTATGGCCTGTGTTAGACCACAAGTTTCTAAGGTCTTTCTTTTTTAACTTCCATGCTCAGTCAAACCCCGGCCACATAAATTGGGATAAAGGGAGTATTCAGTAAGAACTTTGTACAAAACTGAGTATCTTGCTACATGTTAATTTTAACCAATTATTCCTTTTACTGAGCAGAATATCCACTAGGACATAAGTTCCGTATCTTGTGCATTTTCCTTGTAGCCTTTTATCTGAAAACTATTCTCATGCACTTTCTTTCTCTTAAATGATTGTCATGTTGGCCTTGGGCTCAGACAAAAAAGAAAGAATTATATAATTTCTGAAGAAACACATAAAAAATATAAAGCAGCTGACACCAATTATCCACAGCCCACACAAGCCTTTGGCCTACTTAGTAGCCAAAATAACCCCAAACGAAGGATGGAGAGAGAAAAGACGTGTGGGTACCGAAGTCAAGGAACCCAATACGCCCATCACGTAGTTGCCACAAATTGCCAGCATGTACATCGGCATGGAAAGATTCACAGGCAAGCAGACTTCCAAACCTGCATATGGGCCGAAGAAATCGAACTCTACTGGTCAGATTAAACTGAGCATAAAAACCAAACAGACTAAAACAAGATCAGAAGTGTTACCAAACATTAAGGGCAGTAATAAGACTGGTTTCAGGACTGGAAACCAGTGACTTAATAGAGTCTAAGTCTGTCAATGGTACTCCATATAGCCTCTCCATAGTCAGAATACGCTTAGTACTATATTGACGGTAGACTTTTGGAGCAGTGGCCTGCCTAGTTAGTCCCATGGCTTCTAAATAACTCCTAAATGACTCAACATTTGTAGCCTCCTTGTTGAAGTCAACTTCTTCTAGCATTGATTCTCGTATGTCTTTGACAATAGCAACCTGCATAAAAGTTGCAAATAAGGAACAAAATTTGGGACAGGGTGGTGAGGAAGCTTGAGACATAGACAAAAGCAAAAATGTTGTTTATATGGAAACATGCTCCAGTCCCAACAAGTTCACATGAACCAGTCACCAAAATTGAAATAGAGCAGCAATAAATTAAATTTTAAAATACAAAAAAGTATAATTTGAACAATAGTATGAATAAAAGAGATACAACAGGGCCACAACTTCTACCTATTGGCAAAATCTACATGACATTGCAATCTGGCAACGTATCCAAGAATCCAACCAATGAGTAGAAAGGATTTACATTGGACAGGTTTAAATTGCAGTTATGGTGTTAGAGATGCCCATTACTTCAGTTTAGGAAGCTGTAGTATGTGTTTCAAAAACCATTCCTTCTTTCCTTTTGTTGATGAAGAGGCAGGGGGATGCTTTTTCTTAAGAATATGAGGTTAAATTTTAATCATTCATTGAAAGATAACTAGAGTAGAAACTCTAGAGGAAAATAATAATCATATCAGCAGTCACAGTAAATTGTTAAAAGCTATATGCATTATACCAGAGATGCACGGCTTAGATCGGGACTCAAAAACTCCAGGATACGAGCTGCAATGTATATAAAGTTCAGATCTGCTACTAAAATATCTTCTATTCCAGGTTTCAAAACCTTTATCACTACATCCTCTCCTGTGCCTCTTATTCTTGCACCATGCACCTGAAGATTTTACATAGTTGAGCCATTTAAGAAAGCAGATGATAAAACAATTGGAAGAATGGAATCATCAATTTTATAAAACACAATACAAAAGAAAAATCATGAACCTGAGCAATTGATGCAGAAGCAACTGGTGTGGGATCAATATATTCAAACACGGTATCAATTGGTCTGCCTAGTTCCTCACGCAAGATTGTTTGGATCTGTTCAAAAGGAACTGCAGGAGCCCTGTCAAAACAGTACTGGAATTCTTGAACATAGTCCGGTGGAAACAACGTGGGTGCGGATGCAATAAACTGCAAATGGTATGGCAATAAAGTATAAGTCATGTGTCATTGGCATGTAAATGAAAGATCATGACAGCAAGTAAGATGATCTTGCTTCATCCTTACCTGACCTAATTTGATATAAGTTGCACCCATGCGTTCAAACAATTTCCTCAAATATAGGGGAGATAATAGCCCAAGCTGCAGCTGAGTTGGTAGTCCCGTGGACGAGTTTGCTGTCTAAAAAGTAAATTATAATAAAATTAAAGAAAATGACACCTGGTAAGAGTTTAAATCTATGAAAGAACTTAGTGAAGTAGATTATTCGAAAAGATAAGTCAAGAGAACAAGCAAAAAAGATTCTTTCCCTTGTTATTGTGGAGTAGGGTGCTTTAGTTAGTCTAAATATTGATCAAGCACAAGTTGAATTGTGGATTCTAAATTTGCGTGGTTTTGAACTATGTTGCTCGGACTCTTCAAAAATGTCAACGGGTGTGTGTTGGATTCTCCAAAAGTAGTGTATTTTTGGAGAATCCGACACGGGTGCAACATCGAAAGTGAAGAGTCCGCACAACTTAGGTTTTGAAAGTTCAAGGAGTTCGACTAGAGAAGCTTAGATATAGTAATGCCAACCACCCAAGCTGGTATATGGTTTTACCACACTTACAAAAGTTCATTTTATACATTTTTAAGTAATTTAGTTCAGAACATCATGAACCTTAATGGGACTTGGGAAACAGCATACATTCAACTGTGAATTACCCCTTTAAATATGTTGATAAAAAAAAACCACACCATAAAATTTTCTTATTAGTTACTTATAAAATTTGTTTTTTATTGAGAATAAGTTGATAGTAGCACTTAGAACTTGTTACCTTAGATACATCTTGCAGCCACTCACTGCCTACTCCAACTACAGCTTGGACACCCTGAGCTAACCTTAAGGCTCCACGAGGACCTGTGCTTAGAGATGTTTGGACAATATCCTCCACAAGTTTGGGCAAGTTCTCTAGACGATCTACCAGATAAAAAAAAATAGCTTGAGTTAAGCTCAACAATGAAAAACTACGAAGTATTTCATAATACTTAAAATGCAAAGCATTTTCCAAAAGCTTTCTATCATCATAACCTATAAAAAGGTGTCAAACTGATTCTGTGCCCTTAATGAGGTGAATTAAAATATCTGTGCCAAATCAAAACTCAGAGCAACCCAAAGCAAAAGGCATCCAGACTGTCTAATGCAAATTAATAGAATAAAATGGCCAAGTTCAATATATTGTACTTCCTTTCAGGGAAATTCTTCTTATGATAATTAACAACATAATCCCACTGAAGAAACTCAAGAACCCATAATTTCTCCCCATAATCTCTTTTATAAAAGAATTTGCCCCTTAATTATAAAGATTTCCATTTCCCGGTGCACTAAGCTCCCGTTATGCGTGAGGTCGAAAGGGTTGGACCATAAGGGTGTATCCTACACAGCAAGAGGCTATTTCCACAGCTGAAGTCACATGTCCATAACATAAAGAGGGATTTTTTGACAGACGTTGTAATTCTGCTAATGCTTGACTAATGAGTGATTATAATTAGTACTGTTATCTTTTTCCTAATAGGGGAAAAGGGAATTTACAGCTTATGAATGAAAAAAAATAAAGTGAAGCACCTTGAAGACGAGAAGTAAATAGATCCTGTGCCTGAGAATAACGAGCAAAAACTCGCAAAACATTGGGACGATTCCGATAAGCAATGTTTCTTGGTCTAACAATCGGCAACTGCAAAATAAATGAAATTAAATTCAAAGATTCAAAATACCCAGATGGTAAAAAAGGTAGTAGAAGGAGACCTGAGAGTGAGGGAGTAGTGGTAAGCGGCCATGAGAGACGCCCCTCAACACTGTAACAACTGCCATTTTTCTCAAATGAAGAAAAGAAGAAAAATACTGTATTTTCTTTAGTTTTGGTCGATCATGTAAAATTCTCGGACGGAAACAGTGAAAGATAGGAGGCCACGTAGCATATGCTCATTGGCATGATTATCAAAATACAGTAAAACTCACTAAATTAATATAGATGAGATCATGAAATATTATTATTCTGTAGAGGTAGTGTTTCGACATCGAAAAAATTATTCAGGAATGAAATCTCAAAGAATTTAAAAACGTCATTCATTAACTTGAGATCATGATTAATGATCTTGATTACCGCAATAAAATGGACGTTAATAACCTATTGAAATGATAAAGTTGAAGATGATACAATACCTTTAGAATTAGTTACGTGTAAGGAAACACTTGCATTTAAAACTCTTCACAATTTTATGGTGCAATTAGAAAAGAAAAACATTTGGATGCAATAAGAAAAGTTAGAGATGAGCTTCAATTAGATTTAAATTTTAATAAAAAACAGAACATAATAAAATCATATTTCACTAAATTTTCTTAGATATATTTGTACTTTTAAAGAATTATTAATTTATAATATTAATGGGACCATACATTTATACAGGGGTCTTTTGAAAATTTATTATGTTATTATCTTATCAAAATGAGTAATTTTTTCCATTGACCCAAATTGAAACCGGAGGAAATTATTATCTTAAAAATATTATTAATTAATCGAGTATTAATTTAGTGAGGTTTTACTGTAGTACTATTAATTTAGAGTTATATTGATTTGCTATCTATCTATTCATGTATATGATTGCTATGTATATATTCAATCCATATTTGTTGGATATATCGTATGTGTTCTTCAAATTTTGTTGTATCAATACATATAATTTTGTTGGATATATTGTATATGTTTATTAGGGTAATAAAATTAAATTCAAACTTGTTCAATTCGTTTAAGTTTGTCTGTCTATTTATTAGCTCAATTCATTGCAACCCACCTCATTTAATCCATTAAAAGTTGGATTGATATATGACCAAATTGACTCATGAGAAATTTTGTCAATTTTTTTTTTCCAATTTGATATGTTATCTATAGCCATAATAAAGAAAATATTAATCTTATATGTAATAAATATTTTAATAGAATAAATAAGACAATTAAAACTTAGTAAAAATTGAATTGAATGGAGTCTTAAAGTGTTTTATGATCTATTACTTAATTCATTTTGACCCGAATTAAAAGTTTATTCTGAATCCTTGACGTATACATCTTACAGAGTGAAACTGTCGCATAATCTGTCGGCCGACTCTTATTTGCAATAATGTATTTCATTTACTTGGCCCATTTTAGGACTCATGGCAAGTTATCGATTAGAGAAATATTGATATGCATCTCTTCAGTAAGTCAATGAACTACTTGAAACTAAACTCTTTCTTTCTGCTTTTTCAACTTCCGTAGGAGTGTCAAATGAGCGGGTTGAGTTGAAATTAGAGATATTAAAATGAGTTGAAATAGAAATTGAGTTGGTTCCTAACCCGCTCAAGTTTACTTTGAGCTCAATTGGATTGGGTTTAAATGAGCTTTAAAACGGATTGGGTCTAATCTTAATAATATATTATTATTTAAATTTTATAACCACAATTTGAATTTTAATTCAAGAAAATTTGAAAAAAGATGTTACAAATGGATACATAAATTCTAAAAGATATAAAATAAATAGTAATTCATATCTTCAGTATAAGAACATATATTACAATCTTAAAACGGGTTGAAATTAGAGATTAAATTGGGCTCAATTGAGGATTCTTTTAAAATGGGTTAGGACTTGAATGAGTTGAGATTGAACCCAATTAAAATTATCTTGAGCTAGTGGCGCGGAGCCAGGATTTTCAATAAGGAAGTTCAAAATCTGAAGAAATAGACACATGAAATAGCCGAAGGGGGTTCGACATTTACTATATATACCTAAAAAAATATTTTAATCATGTATAGATAATATAATTTTCCGTTGAAGGGGGTTTGGATGAACCCCTGAGAATAAGGTGGCTCCGCCACTGTCTTGAGCCCAACCCTTAAAATTCTTGGCGAATTTTAATGGTTAAGCTAGTTCTAATTATAACTGTTACCATAGATTTATTTTTCATCTCTCTGTGAATCATTTATAAAATTTACAGAATTGATATTAGCTCCACATATTTTGGATCAATGATCTTCTTCATACGTTTCACACCAGCCCAAAATTTATCGCATTTCATTCACTAGAATACAGCTTGCTGAATTGTGTAATCATTTGGTTCATAATTGTGTTGTAAACCCATCAATCTCTAATATGCATGCTGTTTTTTTAACCACAGTTCTCAATCTATCGCTATTCATTCGAGATTCGATTTAGAAACACGTATAGCTCATCATCTAACCTTTTCAAAGCCTAACCACCTGTCGTTGAATCTAGAAATATCATCATATGTGGTTCTAATCTCTCGATGAATGTTCGAATCATTCATTTTATAGTGATGCAAACAATCTTTAAAGAGAGATTTGGACTTTTTCCGTATTGTTTTAATTTCAATATCTCGATTTTCAATCTTTGAATAAAAATAACTTATGAATTTCTTTGCAAGATCATTTTATAAGGTAATAGACTTTGATAGTTCATCCTTCAACCACATCTTCATTTTCTATAAAAGGAAAAATGGGAATAGAGTGATTCTCACATGATCGGTTGAGACTCCTTGAACTCTAAAAAGTTCTAAATATGTTGTGAATCCTCATGCTCAAGACTTGTAAATTGAATCACATTACATATTTGCTCAATTCTCTTATTTGCGGATGCTGCCAAAAGAGGTATTGTCATCTGACTCATCTCTACAAGAATAGTCCCTTTTTGATGCACTTATTGGATTATTTTGTTTTTTCTTGCCCAAAGAGGTAATGCCACATCCCATATGTTTTTTCTTGTCTATCGACTGTCATATTATTTTGTTTTAGTTATTGTTCTATTACTATCTAATTTTTGTTAATATATGTTACTTCTTGTACTACTTTTTTTTTTTTTTTTTGAATGCTTTAGACAATTTTTTTCTTGAATCAAGAGTTTGTTAGAAACAAATTTTCCACCTTTGAGGTAGATATAAGGTGTGTGTAAACTACTATCCTCACGCCCAATTTTGTGAAGTTATATTGAGTATGTAATTACTATAATAATTCTATATTTGATTCGTCAAATACATAAAATTAAAGATCAAATATAGCATGTTAATAATCCCCCATATAATCCTCAATCCGTTTTCCCCCCTCAATAGTGCAATCAGAGGAATAAAAATATAGAACCACTCCGATTAAAAAAAGATTTAGGGCCCAACCGGGTTCGAACCGGTGACCTCTTGATCTGCAGTCAAATGCTCTACCACTGAGCTATGGACCCAAGTTGATGTTATAATTTCCATTAGAATTTACTAGTCATTGTTAAACAATTCTTACTTCTACAATCAAATATTGAGAAATAACCAAAATCATAATGCACCTACAATGATTATGGATTTTGATGAAGTGATAAATATTACTTCATACTTAATCAGAGGAGAATAATAGGAGATGTGAATAAAAAATACTCCTCCTTTTTCTTACCTTAAAAAACCACGAAGAAATAAGGTACAAACGCGATCACACTAAATCGATCATTTCATATAATATGAGACTTTTTCTCGTTATACAAAGATAGATTTTAAAACACGGTACAATAAAGCTTAAGTTACAATCATAATAAATATAATATTTAAACTAATAACACAATGCATTAGTAGTCAACAATCCAAAAAGGAGTTAAAGATCATAGTATGTTATAAAACTAAGTTAAAAGAGTGATAATATCAGCAAGAAAGTAGACAAGAAATATATAAGATGAGAGCGGTGAGAGCTTTTCTTATTCTTCCAAGTATTCAAGTCTCTACAATATGAACCCTTATGCCTCTATTTATAGTGTTACATAGAGGCATATAAAAAGTTTTTCATAAACATGACATTAATCATGAATATAAAGAAGGAGGTTATGGAGGTGTAAGGTTACAAGAATGATGGTCATAAAGGTGGAGATTATCTTCATAATGAAGGGAAGTAATGGAGATAATTAGTGAGAGTAACTTCTTGGTGTATTGGACGTCCAGACCATAATATTTTATAACCACACCACAATACTTTATAATACTCCCCATTGGATGTCCATAGATAATGTGCCTAGTCAAAACCTAACTAGGAAAAATCCCGTGGAAAAAAATCCTAGTGAAGGAAAAAAAGTACACATATCTTTTAATACGAATTATTTATTGCCTCATTAAAAGCCTTGCCAGGAAAATTCAGTAGGACAAAATCTCAGTCAAGAAATAAAGAGTACAATGTGTATTATATTCCCCCCCGATTAAAACACCAAGATCCGATCTCTTTTTGGAAACTAATGTGAATATTACTTTTTAAAAAAACCACTTACAAGTCACGAGCACCATTTCTCATCACCCTTCAAAGGATAGAATGAGTATAGGACTCGTTAAAAAAAAAAAAAACAAAGTCAAGTTACATAATTTTTTCCAGAAACTTCTACATCTAATTGCTCTTTTGGAATTCTTATACATTTCTATCCTTTCTACTATTTCACGTGTAATTTCACTCACTATATATGCATGTTGTATGATGACTCCTTTAAATTGTTTCCAATTTCTTGCTTTCCAAATGTAATATACCATAGCTTCTCATAAAGCTGCCACCACTTCCTTCTTGAATCTTTTTCAGTGTTTCTTCTTAATCAGCTCCAAAATTCCATTCAGCTCTCTTGCAGGCAGGTTGATATTGGACCAACTTAGGAGTGCATCTCTCACCTTTGTAACATATTCACAAGTCTACAAACAAGTATTTATTTGTTTCCATCACTGTATCATTACATAAGCAACATTTATTGTCATCAACTTGTATATTCATGTTCAACAACCTTTCCTTTATGAGAAATCTCTTTTGTATTGCTAACCATATGATGAACCTTTACCTAGGCAATGATACAGAGTTCCATATTAGTTCAGCGATTCCCAGT